TAAGGGCCTGTGGTCTTTCAGCAACATGAGGCCCCCCAGCGCTATAGGAGTTTTACCAGTCAGTCACGATTCTGGGGCACAGATTGGGAGAATGCCAAAGGGGAAGGCAGCAAAGCAAACATTCATTTGGTACACCCCTGGCACGCTCTTCAGGCTGCTTCCAGTCAGCTGCATCCTGTTCTGCCTCCAAAAACACTTCTTTGCTACAGCCAGAGCCAGCAGAGTTGTTGTCACTAGTTAACTTTGTTCTTTATATATTAAAAACCGCAAGCCAACCCTCCTCTGATGCACGCAATTAATGATAATAAAAACAATAACAGCTCAACAGTTAAGCGCAAAGAAGAGATCAAGCACTGTGATGCAGTTTACACATACCAACTTATTCTCACAACAATCTAAGATAGATAGGTTATTAGCTTTCTTTAAAGAAAGGGGAGGAGGAAACAGGTGCAATAACTAGCCAAGGTTGCACAATGAATCCACAGCAGAGATGGAAAAGGATCCCATGTCTCACACACTGTGGTCCCAGAGCTGGCATTCTAAGCCACCAGCACAACCACACCACAAAGACAACCCCCCAAGACAGAGGAGGTTTCTGGCACTGGCCTCCTCATAGAATAGTCCCTCACCTTCTCTGATCTGGATTAGTGAATAAGGTAAAAAAAGAGTACTTTTGGGCTGGGGATACAGCTCAAAAGTACTCTTTTTTCACCTGTGCTTGCCTCACATGCACAAAGCCCTGGTTCAATCCCCAACACCACAAATAAATAAATTAAATTAAACTAAGGTATTGTATTTATCTATAACGAAAAAAAAATTTTAAAAAGAGTACTTTTGAAATTGAAGTTTAGTGAAGATAAAAATACAAAACAAACAAAAAGAACAAGTAATCCAAACAATGATACACAAATGGGTAAACCTCTAAACAAAATTCCCTTCAGTCGTTAGCATCCTCCAGAAGACATGTAGAAATACAGGGGCCTTTTTTGCTGTCTCAAAAAATGGGAGTTACTATTGGCCTTAACGCCTGGACACCAGGATGTAAAACCTCCTAACAGTCAAGCACAATGAGCCATGCTAATAAACAGCACTCCTGTTAAAAAATGCTCGCTCTCTCTCTCTCTCTCTCTCTCTCTCTCTCTCTCTCTCTATATATATATATATATATATATATATATATATCTCCAGAGCTATAGAAGGAGGCAACAGGAAAGATCCCTTGAAGCTCACTGCTTTCAGAGCCTTACTTTATCTTGAGCTTTTGTGAAATACATGCTAGGCAAGCATATGGCCCAAACCTTCCCTAATATAGATTTATTTCCAAGGCGTGGACAGGAGCCAGATTTAGGCCCACGGGCTATTTGTCCAACAAGACATTTGGCTCCTTCCTGGCCCAGGCAGTGAACAGACATAGGGCTACACCAGCTGATTCTTGGACTAAGCAATTGGAAAACATTAAGAGTCTCAGAAGAAAGCAAACTGTGGTCATTGCTCATCAAGACTGTCATCAGCTCAGTTCTGTACTGGCAAGGACTCTGTTGAGCATGGAGAAGGTCTTGGCGAGTCAGGCCAATGGGAAAACCATTCCTTACCATCTGTGGGTTCTAGGGAAATGCCAGCACCCCATCTGGTACTTCCCTTCTCTCTGTCCTTGACCACAACATCCCTCAGTAGAAGTCCAACTCAGGTCCCCAAGTTTCCTCTTTCAAGAAGGGCTAATATTTATGAAATAATTAAAGATCAGGAATGTATGATCAACTCCATATTATAAGTCATTTTCCACTAGAGTCAAACAAAACTGATCTTCCAGTTTCCCATCTCTATCCCTTTGCTATACAGATGTTTCTTGACTTACAATGGGTCACATCCTGATGAACCCATTATAAGTTGAAAATATCATAAGTCAAAATGCACTGAATACACCGGATACACCAAACGTCCTAGCTTAGCAATGCAGTACATTGTGAAGTACAGGTTATTTGCCCTCGCGATTGGGTGGCTGGTTGGGAGCTGTGGATCCCTGCTGCTGTCCAGCAACCAGAGAGCATCACACTGAATATTGTCAGCCTGGGATAAGATCAAAAATTAAAATCTGAAGTACTGTTGCTACTGAATGCATTTCACTTTTATACAATCTTAAAGTCAAAAACTCCTAGGTTGAACATTATATGGAAGGCACCATCTGTATAGCCAAACATCTGACCAGGAAAGGTATGATTGAAAATTAAATCTAATTGATGGGGCATTTGATTTCCTCGTTGGTAATCCTAAAGACCTCTATTCTAGAATAGAATAAGGAAAGCAAGACTATTAAGAGAGTCACTGGGGATGCCCTTAATGATTGTATCCTTGTTCCCTAGATCTCTTTGACAATTATATAGGCAGCTGTAAAGGAAGAGTGAATGGATTGTTACGAGGCCTTAATACCTACAGATATTAAACTGAATTATGTTCAAGAGCCAAACCCCTGGGATAGCAGTGGTACTGTGGGAGGCTAGGAGAGCAGTGTTATATGACTATGAGACAAGATCAAAACATAAAGCAATAGTGATGGCACCAATAAAGTGACTGCAAAGTAATAGTTATTGTTACAGAAAGGACTGTGAAAAAAAAAAAAGGTAACAAACAGTTAAGAGAATGGCAGACGGGGGATAACGATTTTTGGCTCATGATATTTTAACTGAAACCAGGAGATTTATGAAACAATCTAAGGATAAAGTCTTTTTTATTTTTAAGGGAACTGTCATAAATTTTTATGGACTTACAAGTTGGATACTCTCCAAAAGACAGAAAAATCAAACAATTTGCATAGATAGGTCTGCAGTTCTAGCACATTGCAGACTTCCTAATGTGGACCACTTTCTACCTTGCCCTAATTTACAAACAAAAATGCTAGAGAACATATATGGCCCACAATGAGATACCATTCCACACCTCTTAGGTGGCCATTATCAAAAGATAACAACAGTTAGAGAAGATAATGCTGAGTAAAGTTAGCCAATCCCAAAAATCCAAATGCCGAATGTTTTCTTTGATATAAGGAGGCAGATTCACAGTGGGCTAGGGAGAGGAAGCATGGGAGGAGTAGATGATAGATAGAGCAGAGGGGTGGAAGGGGAAGGGAGGGGCATGGGGTAATTAATGATGGTTGGATGTGATGATCATTATTATCCAAAGTACAGGTATGAAGATACAAATTGGTGTGAATATACTTTGTATACAACCAGAGATATGAAAAATTGTGCCCTAAATGTGTAATAAAAATCATAATGCATTCCTCTGTCATATATAAAGAAAGAAGAAAAAATAAAGTGATATGTACCAGTAAAAAAAATAAATAAAAATGTTTGCTAAAAAAAAAAAAAAAGATAACAGTGGAGATGAACAGAAATTGAATCCTTGTATATTGCTGGTGGGTACGCAAAATGTATGGTAATTCCCCCCAATATTAAAAACAGAAATTACCATATGATCCAACAATTCCACTTGTGGGCATATATTCAAAAGAACCGAAAGCAGAAAATGTGCTCTGCTCAGGGATGCTATATGAAATTGAAACCCTAGGTCTACACCATGCTCAGGTGTGGATGATGAAATTATAATACCTGAGATTTTAAAAAAAGGGTAAAAGTAAGTGCTATGCTTTATAAATTGCCAATGAAAGTGCAGAAAACAATGGACTAATTTTTGAAAAGTGCTGAGAAAAAAACAACAGAACTCAGAATTCTCTGCTCAGGTAAATTAGCAATGAAAATAGTAAGGCACAATAAAGAATTTTTTGAGGGAAACAGACCTACACAAGAAGGACTAAAGATACGTGAGGGTGTATGTATGTGTGTGTGTGTATGTGTGTGTGTGTGTATATATATATATATATATATATATATATACACATATATACTTACATACACACACAAATATATGTGTATACACATATATATATTATATATTATATGTTATTTTTTTATAATAATATATATCTTACATATATATGTAAGATATATAATGTATATATCTAGAGAAAGTGAAAAATAAAGTGTTATGTTTTGGTTGTGAGGATTCCCCCAAGAGCTCATGTGTGAGACAATGTAAGAGGATTTAGAGGAGAAATGACTGGATTATGAGAGCCTTAACCCAATCAGTGAATTAACCCCTATTGGGGATGAACTGAGTGGTAACGGAAGGCAGGTAGGGTATGGCTGGAGGAGGTGGGTCACTGGGGGGCGTGCCTTTGGGGTATTCATTTTGTATCTCCTCAGTGGAGTTTCTCTCCCCCTTCCTGATCATCATGCTTCCATCCACTACACTCTTCCTCCCTGATGTCCTGCCCCACCTTGAACCCCAAGGAATGGGGCTGGCTCTCTATGGACTGAGACCTCTGAAACCATGAGCCCCCCAAGTAAACTTGTCCTCTGCTAAAATTGTTCTTGTCAGGTCTTCTAGTCACAGCAGCGAAAAAGCTGACAAAAGCAGAAAGTGAGCCCAAAAAGAAGAAAATAGTTGCAAGAAAGGTACTATTGAACAAAGAAATTAATAAACATGAAAAACCCAATAGGAACTGACTTTATAAAACAATAATTATTATTATAAGACTAATTTAGGGAATTTAAAAACAAAATGGAACTAAAATGCTGAATAAGAAAACACAAGCCAGGCACATACATGCCTGTAATCCCAGGTACTAGGGAGGTTGAAGCAGGAGGATTGTGAGTTCAAACCTAGCTTCAGCAACTCAGTGAGACCTTGTCTCAAAATTAAAAATAAAAAGGGCTGGGGATGTAACTCAGTGGTAGAGTGCCCTGGGTTCAACCCCTAGTGGAAGTAAGTGGAAAATAAAAGCAGCAAAAGCATATCTACAGGATAACTACTTACACTTTTCAAGCCAAAAAAGAATATCTTTACACTGTCCCAGATATTTGCACATATATTAAAAACAAAAAAATGCACAGGGGTCAAAGATTATCTCTAGGGGTAAAGGATAGGAAAAGCAAATGATGGGGTATGAGTGGTTAAAAATGATGCTTTAATTAACATTCACACTTTAATTTCTTAAAAAGAAAATCAAAAACAAACATGGCAAAATGTTACTATTGATTAAAGCTAGGTAAAGGGTACAAAGTGTTTATTATTTGCTCTCCTTTTTCTACATTTTAAATATTTCCTAATTTAAACATTTTACATAGAAAAGGTCCAGCAATATGCATGGTATGTCCATTTTAAAAGTCCTATACTACAGAATAAGGCATAGGTTTAAAAAGGAGATCTTTGTTTATAATAAAAAAATTAAAAATAGAATTATATTATTTATAAACATAAAATTTATAATAGAAATAGGATATTGTTTGATTTATTTTCAAAATAAATTGAAGTGTAACCATACAATGAAATGCCACGTAAGACAGTTCAGAAGTTTAATTATTGACTTGGAAAGATATTGACAACATTTCAAGTGAAAAAAAATGACTATAAAATTATAGGTGTTAAACTAGGGGAAACCTACATGCACAAATAGATCAAAGATCCATTAATGTACCTACCATATTTTAATCCCTTAGACCCATGAAAAGTTAACCAAAAGGAACCTAACAACAATTAAAAAGTATAATAGATTAATTCTAGAGTTTGGAACATGAAAGATATTACTGTAATACCTATATAAGGGGAATGAAGGGAAGGGAGGGGGATGGGAGGAAAGATAGTAGAGTGAATCAGACATAACTTTCCTATGTTAATATAGGAATACATGATCAGTGTAACTCCACGTTATGTGCAACTACAAGAATGGGAAGTTATGGGCTGAGGTTGTGGCTCAGTGGTACAGCGCTTGCCTAGTATGTGTGAGACACTGGGTTTGAGTCTCAATACCACATATAAATAAATAAAAAATAAAGGTCCATTAACAACTAAAAAATAACTTAAAAAAGAATGGGAAGTTATTATACTCAATGTATGTGTAATATGTCAAAATACATTCTACTGTCATGCACAACTAAAAAGAACCAAAAAAAACAGAGGCATTCAAAGCCCAAAACAATTATTTAAAGAATTGATGCTAACAATATCTACCTTTTCAGGTGAAAGTACTTCATTATATATTCAGATCTGAATTAGCACAGTAACCTAAGTTGTTGATCACACATAAAATCAAATACACAAAAGAGCCAGGTAAAATATAAGATATCTATTAAATAAATATCAGGTAATGTAAATCAATGCAATCCATAAAGTGATGCTATATTTATAAAAGGAAAGAGTAGCAACAAGAATTTACTGAAGGACTTTCAAGACAGTAAACAGTTTGTCTTACTACGTTTATACCCTCTGATAAATGGGGAATTGATTTAGATTCTAAAACCTGTGCTGCATATTTGAATAATTAAAAGTTATCACAAAATATCTAACAATCATAATAGATTCTATTTTATAAAAATTGCAATAGCTTACAAAACACAGAGTAAGGAGTTAGGACTCTGAAAAAAAATTTTCCATTATATCCTTTTACTGTGAAAACATTTCTTGGGCTCTTTATAATTTGATGATCTTTGAGACGATTTAAACCATAATATATAAGCTACATTTATTTTGTAAAAATTAAGAATGGCCCAGGCTATCCAACAACAGTTGAATGTCAGATGCCCTGAATTGTCTTCCAGAAGAGTTGGATTTCATTTCATCACCCTTTGAGAGAAGACATCCCAGCTCGCATAATTTCATCAACCAGGAGAATGTTGGTGGCAATCACTGTGCTAAGGGAAGAGATGAGAGTGAGTAAAGCCTCTACCCTGTGCTTATCCTTCCCCAGAAACCTGCAGCTATGAAGCACTTTTTCCTTCAATTATGTTAGTGTGAGATTTTACAAGGCAAAGCTATTATAAATACAAATCATGCTTTGTATCACAATTCAACTCCTTCGCTGATAAGGTGGAAGACTGATTTATATTCCTGCAAAACTAGGCTTATTGTTAAGCACATGGTTTGATTTTCCACACAATGCAGATGGTACTATTTCAGAAAAGTTTGCTCTTTCCTTTCCCCCTCAGACAGTGAGATTAACCTTTCCTACAGCTAATACTGCTACAACCAAAATATAAAAGGGAATGTAAAATTATAGAAGCTAGTTTTAATAACTGGGTCATACCTTCTCAAATGCTTGACAATTTTTCCACTGTATGGTCACAAAAATAATAGAAATATTTTAATGTTATCAATTATACACTTAATGATATTTCTCTTTATGTTACTACCAACTTACCAAGAGTGAAGAAGTTGTTTTTTCACACAATAATTATCCCAAACTCCTGTATCTGCTGGTACCATTGACTCCCCTGCAAAGTAAACATACACACACACACACACACACACATATATATATATATATATATATATATATATATTCTTTTTTTTTTTTAAACAGTGCTGGGGATTGAACTCAGAGCCTTGCTCATGGTTCAGTGTAGGCAAGTGATAGGCAAGTGCTCTACCACTGAGCTACAACCCCAGCTTCAAATAAAACATTTAAATACTATGCTGTACTCAATCAGTGTTGATTGGTATAGTCTGACAATATTTAATACTACTTTTGTCAGAGTCATCAATGACCTCCATGTTGTTAAATCCAGTGGTCAATTTCCAGGCCTCATCCAGCAGCAGAATTTAACACAGCTGATAACACCCTCTTGTATTTTGTCCTCCAGGACACCACACTCTCCTATTTTTCTTTCTTTTGTACTAATGGTTCCTTTTCCCTGAGCTCTTAATGTTGGAGTACTCAAAGGTTCAATCCATTATTCTTCTCTTCTTTCTCTGCACTTACCCCCAAGGTGACCTCATCCAGTTTCCTAGATTTAAACGGTACACCCTCATGACTCTGGATGTTTTAAGAGATCTAAAGAGGCATCCAATATTTAAGTAATAAATTCACCCAAACACCCACCCCTTACTATAAGATCTGGATCAATGAAGAATATCTTCTTTCTTTATTAAGCAATTAATTTTTCTTCAGTTTCTTACCTGTATTCAAATCTATGCCAACCAGTTGCTTTGATTCTGAATGCTCAGCCTGAATTTTTACTAGTGTTTCCTGCAAGTCATAACCAGAATTCTGAGCCAGAACCTTTATGAATAAAAATAATAATAAATACATGTGTTAAATACCTTTACATATATATTTTAACACCAAATATAAAATTAATTCACTATTAGTCTTTTGAAAATATATCCACAATACAGTAATCATTTCCTTTTGAAGAACTCCATCCTTAAACTACATCAAAATATTGTCTATTTAGTAGTGTTTTTATTTATTTAAGCATTTCCCCTATGCACCTGACACTAAATTCTGAGGACACTTGAGTTCCCTCACCCCATTAATTTCCTTTCTTGAAAAATTCTTTTAAATGTGGAAAAAAGGAGAATAGTATTCTTTCTCTAGTCCTCTAGCCACATGTCCCTCAATTTCTCCTAGCCACTTGCCAAAGAAAGCATATTTGCAGCCCTTTTTTGCCCCTCATCTTCAGGAAGACAGCCATGACCTGTGGTAAAAGGGAGAGAGACATCCGCACTCCAAAACAGGCTCATGTCAAGGTGGTCCCCAACAAATGGCTGATAAAGCTACCAAGAGAATAATCTGGCTATTTCATGAAACTCCTAAAAGGATCTGAGCTATTAACCCAAAAATTTCCCTGCTTGAGTGTAAAATATATAAAACTGTGTGAGGATTTACAAATTAGCACCTGTCTTTCTCCTCTGCTAACTGTTCAACAGTATGGACGATATGCAATTAAACATCTTTAGATCTAACCAGTTATTATTTGGCCAGTAGAATGGTTGTACCTTGGGAATAATGAGTAAGGCATCAGCAAAAGCTTGGACTCCAAGACGAGCTCTTCCCTTTACACTGTGCTTGTGCTTAACAAGAGCTTCAGCTATTGCCACTTCAACTGCACCAGCCCCTGGAACCACACAACCTATCCAAGGAAAAAATGATTGGCAAGATACACCATATAGGAAAAGAGAGGAAGAGGAAAATGCAATCAGCCAAGCAAACATGATCTATTACCTTGCCTACCCCTACAATATTTTTAAGTATATACAGAAGTCAAATAAATCACACAGCTGAGTAATTAGTTGTCCTACAAAGCATTATGAAATTAAATAATTAAGGATGGTAGCGCTGGAGTTGTGGCTTAGTGGTAGAGCACTTGCCTAGCATGGGTGAGCACTGGATTTGATTCTAAGGACCACATATAAATAAATAAAATAAAGGTCCATCAATAACTAATAAAAATATTTTTAAAAAATAATAATTAAGCATGGTATAGATAAATGGCTATAAATATCTAATTTCATTTTTTATTTTCTGGCAAATAAATTGTAGATTTTTTTTTCACTTTCACCTTCATCTTATTCTTCTATGACTACATGGAAAAGGTAGCTATTCATAATTTATAGTAGCAGGTAATTATAATATCTGATTTGAAAACTTTTTAGGCCAAGATACTTTGGGCAGAGTTTTTGGGTTGAAATTCTTGAGACTCAATGAAGTATTTGTTGTTTGCATTAGAGCAGAACCCAAACTGCTATTGTCTCGAGAGGGGTACTTCAGCTTGGAGCCATCCATGCTCTTAACATTTGTCACAGAAAAAAATGGCAGGATGAGTCAATAAGTGAGGCACTAAGGATTTCTTTATGGACAACAAAGAAATTCACATTCAGAGGAACTGTGGGCAATCCTCACCTTTCAGGAGTTTAACGCCAAATATAAAAGTAATTCACTATTAGTCTTGTGAAAATACATCCATAATACAGGTGATGTGGCCAGATTTGACTCTCTGATTATATATATAATTTGGGGGGCAGCAGTGGGGTGGCATCCTAAGTAGATGAACCACAGTTAAAATTTTGTTGATTTGGAAAATGTTTAAAAATATTTTTGGAGATCAAATCTATGGCAACCAAGTTTCATGGCGACTACTCTGTATCTGGAGGTCAGAATATTCTTCTTTGATCAAATATCCTTAGACATAATCACCTGTGGGAAAAGTGTACAAGTTCCTCATTTGGGTGGCATTTTAATTAATAATATGTATAATCTTTTAGAAGTATACATTCAGTGTTGCTTTTCCTTAACCAAAGAAGCAAGTTTGACATAACTTGTCTCCATAGTGAGGTCTCCATTACTAAGAGTCTCTCCTCATTGGACTGTTTTAGTTTACCTGTCTCACTACCTGAGAAAAAAATTAGGTGGTCTTACTCTTCTAAGGCAAGAACTTTTCTTAAACATATCAATTTTCAAACCAGGTTATTACTTTTACATCTTCTTGTATAGTTTTATAAGACTTATGACTTATTTGAATCACAAACTTGCTTTAAAACCACCTATCTTTAAACAAAACTATACAAACACAATTGCTTCCTTTATTGCATATCCTTTTTTAAATTACTATGTCCTTTCTCCACTTCACTTTCCACATAACCACTGAAAGAATTGTTTACCCACAATGTGATTATATCCTTATATCCTGCTCACACTTTTTAAAAAGGTTCCTTGCTAAATTCAGAATATACTCAAAAGAATATTCGTATGTATAAGGTATAAAGAATAAATGTACAAATAAACAAATTAACCCATGTACCTAACTACCCAGTTTAAGAGATTACTAGTACTTTTTGAAAATGTCCCTGATCCCACCCCCCTGTGAAAACAGCATATCAAAAATTGTGGAATGCTGCTAAAACAGTAGAGAGACATCTGTACCACTAAACACCTGCATTAGAAAAGAAGAAAGTCAGGTGTGGTGGCACATGCCTGTAATCCCAGCTACTCAGGAAGCTGAGGCAGGAGGATTGCCAAATTCAAGGCTAGTCTGGACAACTTAATGAGACTCTGTCTCAAAATTTTCAAAAAAGTGGGGCTGGGGGTGTATCTCAGTGGTAGAACATTCCCATAGCACTGGTGATAACATCCTGAGTTCAATCCCCAGTATTACCAAAAAAAAAAAAGAAAAGAAAGCTCTTCAAACTGATGAACTCAGCTTATACCTTAAGAAATAAGAAAGGGAACAGCAAATGAAACCTAATGTAAGCAAAGGAAAGGAAACAATAAAGATCATAGTGGAAATTAATGAAATAAAAATGATAAATGTGAAAAGTGACATCAATACATATTATACCAATATTAAGATTAATAATAAAAGAATATTGTGAGCAACTTTATACCAATAAAATTAAAAACTTAGATCAGAAGTTGGAAAACTTTCTGCAAAAGGCAAGTTAATAAATATTTTAGGCTATGTAGATGATATCACCTCTTTTCCAACTATTTAACTCTCCTACTCTAACACAAAAATAACCACAGACAATACATGAACAAATGGGATGTCTGTGTTCCAATAAAACTTTACCAAAAACAGCAAGTCAGATTTAGTTCATGGGAAGAAATTTGATGGTCCCAACTTAGATGAAATGGACAAATTCTTGCAAGACACAGACTACTAAAGTCCAATAAAAAAAAAGAGGAAACTATAATATCCTTATATCTATTAACAATGAGATTGAATTTGTAGTTAAAAGCTGTTGCATAAAGAAAACTCCAGTTTCAGATGGTTTTACTGACAGATTCTACCAAACATTTAAGGAAGAAGTAATACCAATCCTACACACTTCAAATTTTTAAAAACCTTGAACAGGAAGAAAGACTTTCCAACTCATTCTATAAAGAGAACACTATTCTAACACCAAATAAATAAATAAATAAAGGCATTACAAGAAAAAATATATAGAGACCTATACCCCTTATATAGACGTGAAAATTCTTACAGAATTTTGGTCATTCAAGTCCAACAATATATAAAAAGGCTAATCCATTTAACAGCATTATTCACAAAAGCCAAAAGGTAGCTGTGGCACAAGTTTCCACCAACAGATGAATAGATGAATAAAATGTGGTATGTACATACAATATAATAATCAATTATATTTCAATCTTAAAAAGGGAGGAAATTCTAGCTTATCCTACAACATGGATAAACTTTGATGCCATTATGTTAAGTGAAAGAAGTCAAACACAAAAGGACCAGTTGTATTATTTTATTCCCATAAGGTACATGGTGTGGTAAAATTCATAGAGAAAGAAAGTAGAATTGTGGGGGCAGCAAGCCTAGTACTCTGGGTTCAATCCCCAAAACTGCAAATAAATCAATTAATTAAATTTCCATTTCAAAAAAAAAGCAAGGGGATAGAGTAGGAATGGGAAGTTATTATTTAATGGTACAGTTTTATTTTACAAGATGAAAAATGTGTGGGTAGATCATGTAGTGGTTGTACAATAGTGTGAATGCACTTATTACTACTGGAACTATACACTCAAAAATTGTCAAACCATAAATTTTATTATACATATTTATCACAATTTAAGAATAATTTTAAGTTTTAAAATTTAAGAATAATTTATTTTTAAAAAATACAAATGCATTATAACTAAGTAGTTTATCCCAAGAATGTAAACTTGATTGAATGTTTGAATCAGTATAATTTACCACTTTAAAAAACTAAAAGAAAAATAATATGATCATCTCAATAGATGCAGAAAAAGCACATGACAAATCCAGTATCTATTCTTGATTAAAAAAAAAAAAACTGCAGTGCACAGTGACACAATCCTGTAATACCAACTACTCAGGAGACTGAGGAAAGGGGAAATCATAAGTTCAAGGCCAGTCTTGGCAATTTTGTGAGATCCTGTCTGAAATTAAAAAAAAAAAAAAAAAAAAAACTAAAGGCTTGGAATGTAGCTCAGTGATAGAGCTTAGCATGCACAAGTCTTTAGGTTCAATCTCCTAATACTACAACAACAATAACAACAACAACAATAATAATAAATAATAAAAACTCTCATTCAACTAGATATAGAAGACAACTTCCTCAGCCTGATTAGAAAAAAAAATCTACAGCTGATAAAATATATAATGGCAAAAAATGGAATGCTTTCTATCTGTGTTAATGAGCTTTTCTTTCCTTTTACAAAATACCTGAGGAAACAACTTAAAGGAAGAATGATCTATCGTTTGTAACACAGTTTCAGCAGTCTTAGTGCATGGTGGGGTGGCTCCACTGCTGTGGGCTGGAGTAGGGCAGAACATCCTGGCAGAGAAGTCATGGTACAGCAGAGCTGCTCATTTTACAGAGGCCAAGAAGCCCAGGAGGAGGGGAGCTGGGGAGAAGGGCAGGCCTCAGGGACCCACTTCCTTCAACTGGGTCCCACCTCTCATATTTTCCGTCAATGATTAATCTGTTGACAGGATCAGAGCCCTCATGATCCAATTACTTCCTAAAAGCTCCATCTCTGAACATTGCTGCACTGGGAACCAAGCCTTCAACAAGTGAGGCTTTGAGAGAAATTCCAGATCCAAAATATAATGACATCTACGATTAGGAGTAAGTAAAGGATGTCCACTCTCATCATTTCTATTCAATGTTGTATTAAAGTTCTAGCCCATGAAATTAAAAAAAAGAAAGAAATGATAGTCATCCATATCAGAAAGGAAGAAGTTAAATTGTCTTTATTAGTAGACTACATGACCATTTATATAGAAAGTTCAATGAAACTTTTATTTAAAAAGGCTATTCAGACTAACAAGTGAGTTTAGCAGGCTGTAGAATTCAAGATCAATACACATTAATCAACTGTATTTCTTCTATATGTTAGTGACTAACAGCCCGAAATTGAAATTTTAAAATATAATAGTAATCGAACTATCTGAAACACCTAGGGCTAAATCTAAAAAAAAAAAAGAATTTGAGAAACTCATACTAAAAACTATAAAAAATACTGATGAGATAAATTCAAGAAGACCCAAATAAAAGGAGAGAAATACTCTGCATATGAGGTGGAAGACTCAATATTGTTATCAAGTATCTCCAAAATGATCTACAGAGGTAATGAAATTCCAACCAAAATCCCAACAGT